TTTGGGCTGCGATGAAGATGTCTTTGCATGTTAAATTGAGAACTATAGAATTTAGACGACCTCTTTTTTTGGTAAATAAGATGAGGTAATCTCGGAAACTGCTAGATTACACTTGAAGATGTTGTTAGAGCAAAGTTATAGACCATGAGTTTGGTATATGTATAATAATCTACAAAATGCTACGGAACTCGGGGATATAGGCATGGTGAAAAAAAAAATGTCTTTATGTAAGTACTTCGTCAAATTTAGTAACCTTTTGAAACAATATTGATTACTTAAGTCAGCTTTTTGTCAATTAAGCTAACAAATAAAATATTTAACACTATTTATTTACGCGCAAACATTAATATTACAAGCATTTTAAATAATGTTCGATTAAAATCTTAGGTGTAAGAACATTTCATTTTGGATAAAAAGTGAGCTAATATTTTTATTATTTTACTTCGTGTTATTAATCACTGTGGTATAATGGTAAGGGCTGTATATAAAAGGTCAAAGGAATAATATAAATAATAATTATAGCTATTAAAATTGTGACTAACTTATAGCATAAACAATCGTAATCTTTATTGTTAAACGGAAGAGGTACTTAGTTGAATAAATGTGTGTAATTAGTCTATTGGATTAATGTTTATCGTTTAAATAGCAAAAAAAGGTTTTTACATAACATCACGCCTTTCATCCCCGAAGAGGTATGTAGTGCACATTACGGCACCTAATGCCACTGTACAATGTAACACCCACTTTTCACTATTTATGTTATGAGTGCAATGTTATAGGGGGTGAGCCTATTGCCATATACCGGGCACAATTTCAGGCTCCGTGCTACTACTGAGATTTAAAAAAAATCCACTAATACTTTATCGGACCCGGGAATCGAACTCGAGACATGTATTCAAGTGATATCAAAAATAAGTTAAATAAAAACAACCTTTATATTAAAACACCATTCAATTAATTCAGAATACACCCAAAAACATACTACAGTAAAAGTAATTAACACACTATTTAAAAAAATATTTCAGTATGGCAACAAAAAAAAATAACTTACACTGCGTGACCTAAGTCTTTAAAAAGAAATAAAAGAAAATACTAAGGTATGACGTCATCATTGAACGTTCATTTGTCAAAGTGATTTGTGGCTAGACTGTGACGTCATAGGCTGCGATGTCGCGGGATAGTTTCCACGAAAGTCTGAGTGACGTGGTATAACTGAAACATGTGGTATTTGGGATTCCTTTGTCTTGTTTGAGACTTTTTCTTTGTTCAAATCGAGAGTAAGATTAAATTTCCTGTATTAAGATAAATTTTGTCTTTTATCATCATCATCATCAAGAGGCCGTAAGATTCACTGTTGACTATTGGTCTATGTGTTGTCTATGGGCCTCCTTTGAATTTAATCTTATACTTATTATATAAAGCGGAAGAGTTTGTTTTTTTTTGTTTGTTTGTTTGAACGCGCTAATCTCCGTAACTACAAGTCTGATTTGAATAATTCTTTTGTGTTGGATAGCGCATTTATCGAGGATAGCTATAGGCTATAAAATATTACGCTACGACCAGTAGGAGCTGAGCAGAGCGTGTGAAACCGCGCGAAAGTAGCTAGTTGAAAATATCCTTTGATTTGTCAATGGTTATAAATGCCATTCTACTCTGGTGTCCCAGTCATTACATGACGAACCATTGTTCATTAAGTTTTAATTCCAGTTTTATTTTCATTATAGTTCAGTACTATTTTAATTAACAAATTCGTATATTACTAACAATCTGAGGGCATTCTGGCATAATTTCAGCTTAAGATTTCTGCATATAAAATAACCTGCAGCTGTAGCTAAATGCAATTTAGCAGTTGTCGACTTGTAGAGTAGAAATCAAAATTTTATGCAACTACATTCTTATAATTTCGGCTTACACACGTAATTATTTGACGAGGAACTCGACTAGTTTCAAGCCATGCTAGAGGCTCATATTCATGAGAAGCATTCTGCGACCCGCGACGCGGCGACTGTCGCGCTGCTACTCTAGCAGCAAGAAACTAGTCGAGTTCCTCGTCAAACAATTACGCGAGTAGGTAAGCCGAAAACATAATAATTTATTTAGTATGTCTCACGAAAGTTGTAATACAAATTATATGGAATTGTCGTAAATTTTGACACTTGCCCGTGTCATCTCCATACATTTAGTTTTCTACTCTCTGGGTAGACAAGCGCTATTGTGGCGTTTGGCTAAAGGCTGTACAAGTTCTTTTAAAGACGCCGTACCCACAATTTTCTTTGTCACAGCTAATATAGTTTGAAGGTAAACAAATTACCACTTTCTGTTCTAGTTCATTACACAATTCAAATGGGAAAATGTAATTCAAAGTTATCTTAGGTTAGCTACGTATTGAACGAGGTGATTCCAGTGAAAGTGGAGCCGATCAAATTGTTACAGAGTTTAGAAAATTCCATGGGGTTAGCTAAGTCACATGGTGACTAACTACTATGATTCCTGTCCTTACTTTATGATTATATACAATACAATTAAAAAAAAACGTATGAAGTAGGTATAAGTTACTAGGATACTGAAATAGGGTTCTATATATCTGGAATTATTTATTCCTCTTCTTTACAGACTTCCAAACGGCGAATTGTCGACCTAATGGTTCTTTTTCACGTATGTTCACCAATTTTCTTTAATTTCTATTATATATTAACTCGTCGAGTACCGGTTTTATAGACACAATTAAAGAACAATAGGTCGCGGTCACCGGTGACCGCTTGGTGTTTGACAGTTTAAATAACTTACTCTGCTAATAATTATATTTCAACATATATAGTATCTGGGTGTGATGTGTATGTGAACTTGTATGTTTGTAAACGCAGTATGACACAGGAGAAAATCAAAGTGTGGGGCAATGTTTAAAAAATATATACATTTTCTAACGTAATATGATCAATTCATCGTAAAATAAGTACTTCTAAAATTGCAACCGATGAAGTTGCGCAGTTGCGTAGACGTTTGGTGGCGTAGGTGTGTATCCTTAATGTTAACGTAGCTATTTTGTAGTAACCTAATTTATTTTACAAAATTTACCTTTATTTAAATGACAAGTTGGCGTATTCATATTTTACGAACGTTAAGTAATTGTAAAGATAGTTTATTATGCATTGCATTGTTTTAAATTAAGCGTAGACTTGGCGTAGCAGCGTAGCGGGGCCCGAATGGCCCAGAAAACTTATTACAAAAAGAAGAATAAAAACGTGCACGTAAAGAATTTATTTACATTGTAATTGTGACCTAAAACTAATGTCGATAGATGGAATTTTTCTTTGCATAGTACTCAGACACTGAAATCATTTAAACAAATTGTAACTCCAAATTTTTAAACCGCACAGTGTAGCAGTGTAGCAAATAAAATCCTCGAAGTTCCAAAAAATATTCCCAACAGAACTTATTCAGAGTTAACGTTCGCCCAGTAAGCATTTATTACGTATATAGAATAAAAAGACGACTGACCACGTGCCATCATATACACACATACATATAGTATTTCCCGATACTCATATAACTTGATATAAACAACACATATATAGCGATCGGCAGGTAGGTACGTATAGTACTATAGCGACTGTGTCCATTCATAAGAAGCGGTTCATTCATGCGGCCGCGACGACGGTGAATGGGAGCGAGAGAGAGGAAAGATGTAAGGTCGCGTTACATTGACAATGGATTCTTTTTGAATTCACATGAATGAGTTGAAATCCTGTTCTACGAATACATGAATGACATTGTTTTGTTTTAAAACAATTGAATATGCACGATGGTAGCCAACGGCTTTTGTTGATCGAGTGGTTATTACGGGAAGCGAGAGGTTTCCCCCTGTTACGGTAATCACACGAATCATCTGTTGTTCTTATTGTTTACTTCAAGTAGCATTGTGACAGGATTACTTAAAGGACTCTTTGTCAATCTTTGTCAATGAAACCGTAGTAAATTTGTAAAATAATTTGAAAAGATAAAAGCTATGAATGAAAGTCAAATTGAAACAGTTATTTTCTTTATTCAAAAATAACTACAACTGAAACAAAAAAAAATATGAACACGTCCTTAATTTAATTTAATTAACTTCATTTAAAAAAGAAAATCATCATTCCATTTGCGTTCGAAAATTGACGATCGCATAAAAAATTAATAAAGATAAAAATCTTGTTCCGATTTTAATTTTTTAAATCAGGTTGTATCTGTGAGCGCACCCTTGCCACAGAGCAACAAGATTGTGTAAAAAAACATCGTCGGTAGGAAGTCAAGTCGATGCAACCGAACGCTCTTGATACATGAGAGTATTTGAAAAATATATATTTTATTACGTCATTTTACGATAACGACTTGGAAATTTGACGCTTAGGGCCATTTGCCTATTCGGAATTTATTAAGTGCCTATTTAAAAACCGTATATTTCAATCGGATATTTAATAGTGTAGTATTAATGCTTTATAACACGATTCTACCTATATTGATTTAAGATTATTATAAGCTGAAATGTTTCAAAAAAACAAATTAATGATCATGTTCAGTCCAAGAGAAAAACCGTAATCCACAAAGTCATGTAAACAACAGATAATCATATTAGTCAAATGTTAATAAATAAATAATCCATCTCTTTATAACATTAAGGTATTCTTTTTTCTTTCTTCAAAGAAACATAAAAAAAAACATCTATAAAAACAAGTTAAAAGAAATGTTCTCGCGCCAAATTCTCAGGAAAGCTTCAAGAATCAAGTCATACTGGTCGTAGTCGGAGGTGGTTATACCGGGCGCGTAGGCTAAGTCGTACCTGACTCGGCGCGCTTGCCGCCAGTCCGAGCTTGCCCGACCACAACGCGACACAGCGCACGCGACCCGAACACGCACGAACACCAAATATCGAACACCGCTCACAATTCGAACATTTTCAAACAATTGGAACGTTACTACTGACAGTTACTTTTTATTTGTGTGTATTTGTAAGTGAAACGAATATGCATGTGGTAACCCCTTTGCTGTTGGTGTGGGCACTCTGCGGAGTCCGTGGTGTGATAAGAACACCGTTGGAGGCGTTCAGGCCTTCAGGAGAAATACACTTGAGGAGGCCAGACAAAATACCGTTCCTGCCGCACAAGAGACTACCAGTACCATCAAAAAGTGATCTCAAGATATTATACCAAACTGGGGTGAGTTTTTGTGTTTAGTTAACCATTTTACATTGCGAAGATAAAGCCGAAGATTTTTAGTATCCACATCTCAGTAAGTTTTTATTGCATTTTAATTTAGATTAATAAAAAGGCCCTAAAATGAAACGGCACCAATAATGTGAACACGTGAGTTTCTGAAAGTTCACAACAAGTTACCGTTTTGTGACTACGCTGGCATTGAATCTTTGGAAGTCAACCTTCAAGAAATCAAGATTGTCGTACAAATAAGTAGTAACACATTTAACACTGCAATTTAAAGTTATGAAATAGCTTAATTAACGTTTTGTTCTCGAAATATGGAGTGGTTCATGAGGTTGGCGCCAAAACTTAGTGAATGAGGCAGGATGACGAATTCCAATGGAGGCATTAATACATGTTTACGATGCAAGATAAGTAGGTTTGAACAAAGTGAATGCCTTATTGGATCATTGTTGTATAGTTTAATATTTAAACGTCAAGAGTCGTGACGATTGTCACGAACAGTGAGTTTCAAAGGAAACCATTACTTGTTTTTCGAAATTCCGAAGGTAATATTAAACGTTTGTCAATTTTTTTAACAATTAATAGGGCATGAATTGAAAGTATAAAAATGTCGACATATCTGTTTGTTACCTATTCCACTCAAAAGCTTTAAATTAATGCAACTTATTCAGTGAGTGTTGTCATTTAAAAGTAAAAAATAAGTAAGATAATTGTAAACAGAAGCCATTATTACGTAAACTATTATTATATGGATAGTAAACAAGTAAATGACATATTTAATAGTAAGTTGTCAGTATCATATAATTATTGCAATAGATGACGCATTGCGGCTATATGAGAAGATAATTATGAGATTCCACGAAGGGTTCCACCCAACAATTAGACCAATTAAAACCAGCAAATAGCACAGGCAAGTATGTCGGCCAGATTAATTTTTATAAACACGTACAGACCCCATGACTAAACCACATTACCAAGAAATTGTAAATAAAAGTTATGCGGAAAAAACACATTTACATCAACGGATACGTCGTCGAATATAAATCTTAAATTCTTCATGCGATATTAACATCAGAAACCAGTAAGTATCACAATAAATACGACTATAAGCCAATAAAAATAAAAGCAGTTCCGGATGTCAAGTCTTGTCAGTTATATTTTAAAAACAACGATAATCATTATTATATCTAATTTTAAAAGTCGATTCAAGAAGATAATAGCTCGAACCTAGGTCCGTAATTACGTTTGCTCAATAATAGCTCTAAAATATTACAATCTTCACTTGAATATGAACTGTATCGATCAAGAAATAAAATTCAAATTATGAGTGGTAGCGAGTATTTTAAAAATTGTATTATAAAATGGGAGCGTTGCGCGGGTGCGTAGGCGCACGCGTAACACCGGTGGCGGCAGGTGTTCATTCACTCATTCTTATCTTGACAGCTTCGATGACTTACGGGCCGAGCCTCGCTCCCGGCCCGTGTGTGCTATTTGGTATAAAAAATATGTTTTTTATGTCATTGCCTTTAAGCCCATTCGTAACGGTAACCGTCTTTTCGATCGTTCGTCTCTTTAAGCGATGGAATTTAAAGTTATCTTGTCGTTTATTCATATTTCGTTTTATGGGAGGGCTTAAATCTTGACAGATATACGAGTATTAAGCGGCGTGCCATTTTTTTAAGCTGCCTTAACAAAAAGTGCAGTCTGCTATTGTGCAGGTTTCAGATGCAGCAGTGTTCGAAGTAATCAACCGTTTAGTTTCACAGCGGGTATCAAAGTGCCGACTAGTAAATAATGGTTGAGTTTAGTGCTCCCAAGATTTGAATAACAAAACTATGAGAGGGTGTCTGTGATCTGCCGACGCGACACACCTCTTGAATCCCGCGCGGGCCACTTTGAACATCTCATTGATAACATCTGAATGGATTCATTACATCATATAATGTGACATTAAGAAATGCAAACGCATTCATGGATTGAGCCTTTAGACTTCGGTTTTGTTTGTGTCGACACGTGCTGAGAAAGATATAGGTAGATATGGATAAGAATTGCAATTGTTTAACGCGCGTTGAAAATATCTCAGTGGCAATCAGACTATGCGGATATAAATCATCATCCTCACTTGCTGGTGACAGTGACGAGAGCCTGGTAGCAATTTATAAGTGCTAAAGGACGCCGCTCGCACCATAGGGGATAATTGAATTTCAGTCCAATTTCATCGCAATTCCGTCTGATGTACAGAATAGAATAATGGCAGAGCAATTTGTCTCACCGAACGAATCAATTGTCGTTCCCGTATTTGATTTACCGATTTACATTTTCTTGGAAGCCGGTTACAACATATTAAGTGCAGTATGAAATATTGCAATATCTTGAGACTTGCTTATGTAAATATGGAGTTAATTGAAGGAAATGAATAACCAAGAAGTACTGAGTATCTTGCAACTGCGACTGTTATGAATTTTATGTAGGAAGTTGTATAATTTTTGTGAAACATCGATTATTCCCTTTTGGTGTTCGAAAAAGTTGAATACAATATTGTTTGCAAGACATTTAATTCTCAAAGTGTTTGTTATTCTTTGCGTGTTGTAATGATTGTCGCGTAATTAGAAAATCGTCTCAAATTGAAGCTAAGTGAAGTCATTGTGGTTTGCATGTAAACATCTAATCAGGCGTCTTATGACTGGTATCGTGTTTTATTGGCCTGAATTGTTCTAGCACGGAAACTATATTCTAAAGATAGCTCAACTATTCATTAAACAGACGCTCAATCTACATTATACCCCAAATGTTTCAACTTTAAGTCTGAATCACTCATGGGACTTTGTTTTGCTTTCATAGGTTTGATTATGACACATCATACATATTTCTTGTTACAGTAGTTTAGGGGACGACGAATGACTCATATCTAACCCTAAATCCAATGAAATCATCACAAATAAACCATAAGAAAAAAAAGGATATTAATAACAAAACAAAACTTTGGACGAAATTCCAAGTATGACTATCTTTCGTATAAATATTTTTATTTTCGTTTAAGATACACGCGCTGTTGCGACAGGTATCAGAAATTTGGACGTCATCAATGTTGCTAAGGATATAAACCAGCTTGTATTATCATCAATCATTATTAAAACATTATTAGACGTCGACCTCGGGTGCCGCCCCGTTTTCTGCTACATCACAATTTTCCATTACACAATGAACGATTCCGTGTAGGTGTGAAATAGGGTCACGCGTTGTTGCAAAATATTATTTATGTCTCTAATAATATAGTTCTAAATGAAGTTACTACTATGCAGCCGATAATGAGTTTGATATAAAAATAAATTGCATAAACAAGTGAAGACAGAATGATCGTATTCATTTAATAAACTACTTGATGAAGGCAATAAAAAGGCAGCTTTATTAAATGAACAATGTGGTGAATATGGCGCCGTGGAGCAATTAGTGATAAGACAAGTCTATTATAAATAAAAATCCTGACACATATTTAAAAAGTCGTAAAAACTTCGCATAAAGACTTCCAAATCAGCTAGCATATTGTTTATGACCAGTTTTTTCATTATGGCTCCAAATGTGTGGCGCCATTTGATTAGCTAATTGCTTTTGAATATTTTGATAATGCTGAATTCGTAGCGGATGCAGAGATACGAGACCGTGACTTAATAATTAATCAATGTTTAATGTATTGTGATTTCTTTCTGTGGAATGTTGTATGAGAATAAAAAATATCAATTTTATTCCAAGAAGAGATAGGTAGCTTTTAACATTATGTTAAGGTTGTTTTCTCCAGTGTTAAGGACTTGTCAAATTATGTCACTATTAACCAGTGACACTAACAATTAAGCTGTAGTTTTGGTCTTAATTTTTACGAACTTACGACGACGAAGTATTAATTTAACCTCGTATAGCCTTTACCCCCGGTAACATTCCTGGAGTATGATGGGACTGTGTAAACCTAAAACTTAGATCTCAGCTTTATAGCTATTTGGTAGCTTTGATTTGGTAAAGGATAATTATTTATCCGTTACCAAATCAAAGGAAAATACAATACAAAAATAAAAAACAAAGATAAAAAATATGCACCAAAAGATATAAAGTTAAATGAATACATTTATGTAAATGAAAACACATTGCTTTAGCATAATTAAACGATGAGTGTCAATGACGTCTCGCGCATAGCTGACGACTTTGGTGTTAACTACGAGATCCTTAACGATCTTTATAATACTCGTCTATAATAGCTTTAACATTAATTTGTAAAAGAAAAATAATAGCATCGAATACAAGAATCAAGTAAGTAATTAAAAGAAGGATAAGACCGTAATACATTTCTGTTGTGGTCATAAATACATTAATGTTACAATTACCATAATTATCGATAAGTGGCTAATATTCCTTTTAAATTTCGAAATACTCTGCACAAGCATATGTCGTATAACGTCTAAAACTATGCAATATAGTAGGTACTTTTTCAATACCTGTTTATTCCGAATAAGAAGCCTCGAGTCCTATAAAACCGTTTACCAATTGCTATAATACAAATTGACTTCTAAAAGGCGAAGTAGGTGTTAGTGACAAGTGACAACTTCATCGGTATTGAATAAGCAAGTCATGAGAATATGATATACAAAATTGCCAACAAATAAAACGTTTCTATTCGCAAGGTCTCTGTTTAATGCAAAGGACACAGGAAAGCATGCGACGGAGCGGACGTAACGGGAATAAAGCTCAAGTTATATGCCAATAAAACATATGCACGTACCCTTATTTAAATAATATTGATGATGCAAAATCCAACACCATACGAAGAAAAGGAATTTATATCAATTTAGTACGGCTATGAAAAAGGTGTGAGTTTGGTAGAATCTCAACTATAGAATAGCTATGAAGTAGAATGGATATCTATGGACAAGCATAATGAAGATATTAAAAGAATTAACATCACAAATAAAAGATACGATGAATTTCATTTAATCCCTGCTGATTCTAAC